ACAGAGCCATTGTAGCTGGAGGGACACACACACACTGGTTATCCCTCACAGTTGCTCTCCATTCCCTCTGCAATTCCTGACCTGATAACTGCTTTTATGAGGAGAGGTTTGTTGGAAGTATTTGCAGGTTTCCTGAGTGAGCACAGACAAGAAAAATCCTCTGTTTGCCCTCTGACTCTTCAGGTGCGCAGGGTGCAAGGAGAAAAGTTCACACACGTGGGACTGTGGTGGTAACATTTGTCTGAACCCAAGGAAGCCAGCCTAGGAGAAAGGCCTGCGGGTGAACTGGGTGGTCACTGCTCCTGCTGCCAAAGCGGGGCAAGGAGAGGCCAGGAGAGCCATTCTGACCCAGGCAATGGCAACAGCACATTTGGTGTCAAGTCTCCGCTATAAAATGCAGCTTGGCATTTGTCAGCACCTAAAACTCAACGTGGGTGAAAGGGCATTATTCTAAAGTGTAATTTGTATTACATTCACTAGCAAAAGACTTTTTTGGAAAGCCATAAAATACTCAGCCTTGTTTCATATGGTTGCAAGTTTACAGTATCTGTGTCCCCTCCAAACTCAATCTCCTTGATTGCATCCTGCCAAGAGGACAGTACCACTCTGATCAGCAGGAGTAAGCCCGGGACCTTCGCATCGATCAGGCTGCAGAAGGTTGATTGCTTTTCACGGTGCCTTCTACCTTGGGTGTGTTTGCATCTTCCATGGATCCAGGGTCCAAACGTATGATTTACTGTTTTGGTTTAGAAATCTCCAGGCATAAGCAACCCCTTTGATTCATAGACAAAAGCAAGAAAACATTGCAGGCTGCATGAACAAATGTGGCTTAGCCAGGCCTTCTGTGGGACAAGCTGAATCCAAACGGCCAGAGAACAGGGTTGAAGACTTCCTGCCATAATTAGTCAAGAGAGTATGACAGACTGTGAGCAACAGGCTGTCGGAGTCACTTTGCCCTCAGCTTAGCCAACACAGACCGAAGGATTTTGTGTGCAGTGACAGTCCTCCTGAACACAACACCTGAACCACAGCGCATGACTTTCTCATGCGGTCTGCAAAGCCTATTTTTCAGACGTGTAACAAACATACAGCTGTATAACAAACAGAAATCTCTGTTTATCATACAATATTTCTAGAAAAATACATAAATACAAATATAAGCCAATAAAGAGTGAAAGTGGACTCAGGATCTCAGCAAAGCCGTGGCAAATTAAACATCGAGGTTACTTACACAACCAGCAGGTCACCCCGTGTGCTGGGGGGGTGCAGCTCACGCAAAGCGCCGCCATTGCAGGGAGCAAACCTTTCGTAAGAGAAAGCCAGGTCGAGCTTGGTGTCTGGGCTCTTTGCCTCCCCTTATGTGCTCCTTGAGGAAGCTTCGTTGTTCAGCAGTGAAACAAGCAGCAGTACATTAAGAAAAAAAAAAAAAAAGGAGTAATGGCTTGGTTGTGTTATCACTTACCTACAGAAGAATACAACTGGGCTTTTCAGAAGCTGTCGGTGTTGGCCTGACTAGCTTCCATTGGAAATAATTGTAAAAATTCAGATATACTCACTGGTTTTCCCCTGGTTTCCTCAGTCGATCGGCTTCAGCTGGGTTATTCCTCTTCCACGTTAAACCTCTCCAAGCGGGGATGGCAGTGCCAGCCGCCCCAGGCCTCTCCCCTCAGCAGCCGCAGGCCCCC